AGAGTACATGTATTTCTTACACTACTAGTAGGGTGGAGACACATACACTACACCTCCCCCGATATTTAAGAAAAAAAAAGAAAAGTTTTCTATTTACTTTTTTTTTACATGTTATTCTCTTGACAGATATAATAAAAAAATGAATTATGATTACATGTCATATTTAATTATAACATTATACGAACCCTGAATCTTATTACATAATAATAAATTTAATATTGAAGATTAAAATAAAATACAATGTTACTTAGCCATTAAATTTATATAATTCCTCAATTGAGTAAAATAAAGCAGTTAAACAAAATATAAAATTAATTCATTAAAAATAGATTATAATCTCATTATCATGATCAGGTCAGGTTATACATAATATTATCGAGTCAATCCAGGATACGCATGCGATTTTATTTAGTACGTCATTAAACCTGTCGTTTTTTGGTACTAACCAACGTTACAACAACATGTTAACATGATCAAGTAGGTATATAGGTGGGCGACAATAATAATGCGTTTTGCAATTAACTTGACATCATATTATGTGTACTTTTTATCCTTTCTAAAACCCTGATGTCTACGAAGAGTTCTCATTGACTTTTTAGCATTTCCATCATACTCGTTTGTGCACCCGACTATCACTGAAATAGCTAATTATCTATCAGATTGCTTTAGCTTGTGCTTTACCTATTAATATTCCAACATTTTTTTTCATTGCTGAAATAAGTTAATATTTCAATTTACTCTAACCAATGTGTAAAAACACTCACTGAATTTATTTTTATCAGTCAAATCTCTCAATAAATTATACTTAAATCCTTGCCATTCAACAAAAAACTTTAAGTATCTTAACCCGTCTAATCACATTAGTGTAATAAAAGAAAAACATGAAAAGGAATTATTACAAGTGTTTGAAATAGGCTTTATTATGATCTACCTTATAGGTGATCATATAATATTTAAATATTCGATTCAGAATGCAAAACTGATCTATATTTTCTTAAAAGATCTCGACCCATGATACCATTCGCCATAATTGGTAACGAATTAAAAACATAAAACTTGTGCTCAATAATTAGATTGCTTGTGTCCAATTGTTGAAACACAACATACATTTTCCGATAATTAGGCAATATAATAAGTATAAAATATTTTTTTTTTTTACTATTTACAGGCATTACAAATTTATATCATATAGTCATATAGTCTCGTATAATATTTAGATATATCGTTGTCAGTCAGGGCTTGAGGCTCACAACAAAATTTAAATTAATTAATTGCAAACATAGTATAATGAGTTTCAAAATCGTATTAAATAAAGTAATTATTTTCATAATCCATACAACTAAGTTGACATTGCTCTACTATTATCCCAGAAAATAATAAATTGTAATAGATGAAAGTTTATGATTTGAAAGTTCAATCAATATTATACCTAAATAATTTATTACATTTCATATTTAGATATCCAGAAAAAGAAGTCAATGTAAAGCAACGTACCTAATCATTTTCGTTAACATAACAACAGACAGATCAAAATACATGTTGTGCTCCCAGCCGCGTAAGCGATTTGTGACACCTTTGTTTTAAATTCCAAAGTACACGTAACTGTATGGAAACGTTTGAGATTACATCGTATGATGGTACCTACTTTCAACAATACAATAAAATAATACCGTGAATAAAATAATTTACCTTTCCTAATAGTTTACCCTTAAATATTTGTTTTAAACATTTTTTCTTAATTATACAGTTTAGGTAGTTAAATTTCCTTGTGATAATAGGTTTACACATACATTATCGTGTATTCATTATTTAAGTTATTTATAATAGTCGAAAACACATTATTACTTTTTTATTTTATGACTTTTATGGAATATGTTTATCTTAATTGAGACATAAATTTAAAATATACACTATTAAACATCTAAAGTTTGTTAAAATAAAATATTAATTAACATTAGAGGAGACAATTTTTTTAAGCAGCTTACATAATTTTATGTTTCGTTGTCCATAATAAAAAAATACTATTATGTTATGAAACTTAAAATAATAGAGTAGATACAATTTCGACTTGTTTTTAGTAACTAATATACAAAATTTGATTTAAATTTGTACAAAATTTACATTCAAAAAAAAAACATAAAAGAAATTTAGGGTAGAGTTATCGAAAATATGAAAAAGTTTTGCAAATTCATATAAAATATATCTAAGCGAAAACGTATTTATCATATTAATATTTTTTAAGTGTGGTTGTTTTTTGCTTTGGGCGGTGATCCCCCTTATTACCTCATTTTAATTGTTCTCATATCCCTGCATGTTAATTATTTTCATACTAACACATCTCATTACATTCTTTTTTGATTGTCAGGCCTATTTTTTTTTTTCATAATTGTTGTACGTACTTTATTTCTTTCTTATATTTTGACCTTTAGCTAGCTTTATTTCTTTTAGTATTAAAATGCTGTTCTAAATTCTCTTTCCTTAATATTTATTTATTAATTAGATACCGGGAATCGGAGTATTAATTCACTTCATTTATATTTTATTTCGTGATGTTTATCACGCGGGTACTTTATAAATATGGGCCCCCCATTTACTTGGGTATTATATTACTTTTTCATAACATTCATTTCATCTTATTGGTACATAAACTTTTTTATCATACTATATCAAGGTAAAACTGTACCTTGGGTTGTGCGCATAACCTTGAGGTCAACTTTTAAGTCATTTTAAAAGGACTCCAACAATTGTCACGGAGGAAAACTAAGTTCACACTATGATCCAATGAAGGATGTGGCCTCTATGTACCATTATTAAGAGTAACAAATTTAAGACTTCTCTGGTCCCCAACAGTACTAATATGAGTAAATTCGTTCACATCTCACTTGTACTGAAGGTATTGTTCCCTAGTACCCGTTACTTCCGATTTTATCAACCAATCATGGAAACATACCCTGCTCGAGGACTATATGCTTTACCAGTGATGGACGTTCCCGTATCTCTCCATGATTTATTGATCAAGGTCATCTTTTATTTTATTTTGATTCTCTTCATACATTTTTATTTCTCTACTTGACTGTATCGGTAACTTTTATATACCTTCATACTCCATTTCCATTACTAACTTTCATAATTCTCACTCATAATGGTTTCAATACCAGGATTTTAAGCATCATCAAATATTTGGGTGATCAGTCCAATATTGACGAAACTTTGCAATTCCATCATTCGTATCCACACATTTGAACATTCCTTCTCTCATTCCTCACGCCTTTTAAATATATACTTTTTAATATTGTACAAAAAAATGAGGTAATATATGTCAACTTTTCATGTCCGTATTTAACTTTGTTAAGAAACATTATTATTAAAACCTCTTTTATTTTCCTTAACACATTAAAATGATAGTTTTAAATATTTTCTAACTGACACAAAAGTTTATGGAATAATTACATCGCATCGCTTATAGTTATATTACTTTTATTTATATCGAAAAATATATTAGCATTAGTTATACATTTAATTTTCATATAATAATTTAGGATTGCTAGAAATTTAAGAAACCGTATAACCTACAGAAAATAATTTGTAATCACTATTACAGCTAAATTTATATTAAACAAAACATTAAGTTATTTCCAATTTTTGATTTTTAAGCAGGTTATATTAACTTTAAGGTCATTTATTAAAGGTTATGTAGTTATTTATATAGTTACTTAAAGGTTTTCATGCCTTTAGAAAAGAAGAAAAATAATTATGACTTACATTACATTAATAATAGCGATTTTTTTTATAAAACCCTTTTCAAAATTGTATACTTACATTTAAATAAAATTTATCACGGAAAAAAATTGGGCTTAATTTAAAAATACGAATCTTGTCATTGTCAAATGTAACTTAATATATTGTTTTTTTTTAATACAATACCTACTAAAATATTATAAAATTTTAAATATGATAAATATTTTTAAGTTACTTGCAAATACCGTACATTTAATATTTAATGCATTACTTATTTATTTAATATAAAACATAATAAAAATAATTAAAATCAAATGTTAAAAATTACGCTGATGCGATGTTACCTCTTATATCTTCTTTTTCCTTTTCGGTTTAATTTTCATATCTTACTGGACAAAGCTTGCTAAGGTACAACTGCTCCTTTCCTTATTAAATTAATTTGCTGTTTCTTGAGTTTTGGTCTTTGGTCATTATTTAAGAAATCACTTTTTATTCTTAGTATTATTTCTTAGTTACCTTCATAGTTATATTAAAGATAAATATATTATATTACTTCATATACGTTATAGTTTTTAAATTTTCAGTCAATTATTATTGTGGCCTCTTGTATTCATATTTATTAATTTTTCGTCACATTCGGTATTGCGTCCATTCCGTTATAATATTTCTTTTATCTGTCATTTCACTTCATTATTTAATTTAAATTTCTTATAATATTTTTATTTATCTTTTTTTTATGTAGTAGGCCCCGGCGGTGCGCATGCATTGTCGCAGCGCACCGCCTGGCAGGGTCGCCATGTGATGTCGGAAAGGTGTTAATGAAAGAGAAGACGTGTTGCTGAGACTAATTCTTTAATTATACTGATCAATAAACTTAAGAGTACATGTATTTCTTACACTACTAGTAGGGTGGAGACACATACACTACACCTTTATCATCCGAACATAATATCGGTTATCATATCATAGCAACTTTATAACAACATCTATCATCACGTCTAGGAATAATAACCCAATGTTTATATGTAACCGGCGATACGTTTTCCCCTTTCCCGTCACACAGTTCTGTAAAATATATCGCATCAAACCACATAGATGTGAAAAAGGAACCAAATTCGATACAATCAACATGCAGTGTTCTAGAAGTTGTAATGAAAGTCCGAACGGTTGCCATTGTTACAAAAAGTTAACAAACCATTTAAATTTCAGTGATTGTAATATTTCACTATAAATTTAATACTACAAAAAATATTTGTTTCTAGGTCGTAATCCTCTACATGAACTGTGCTGGTGCAAAAAGGACAACGCGGCCACTATTTGCGAAATATTTTTAGAATTTATGCCCGACTATCCAATCAACAAAACGGATTTGCAGGTAACGATAAATACGATGTATTTAAAAATATGTGATTAATTTTAATATTAAAAATAATTACTGGCGACCCGCCCTGTCTCCGCCTGAGTAGAATATATTAATGTGACGTTATTTAGTGTTAAGTTTTTCGGATTAAATATAGCCTAGATCATTCCTAGCAACGCCATCTATCTGTTCGTGTAGTTTCATTACTATCGGTTCAGCCATCCTGAAGATTAGCGCGAACAGTCAGACAGACAAAAAAAATTATAAAATTGTTATTTATGTGGTCTTAATGATATGCAGATAACCTCCTCAACTCAATATAAGGTAGTTATTTCAGTATTACAAGCAGCCACTTCAATTTTATTTATATGTGTAGATATTGACAAGTACAGTACAGAAAAATTATTTTCTTTAGTTTGTTTAATATTTTAATTCGAAAGATTTTTATTATATTACATAATTAGTTATTCTCTTTCAATGACATTTTATCAATGTCTAACTACGATTTTACTACCCAAATTTCTCATTTCGCAGCTTTGTTACGATATCGTTCACTCGTCGCTTATCAACACAATGCAGTGTTAGTAGAATGACCATATTTGCCATATTCGGCTAGATTATAGTCGGCACCTGTATAATAGCGGGGTCATTTTAATTGGAATGTTCATTTAAACCTTTTCATTAGGAGCAAATGCATGGTATAAAATAGTCTACTCCTCAAATTTCGAAATCAAACTGTTGTTCCCATTGCTGCATTTTCTGGTGTAGTTTTTGATATACTAATAAAAGTTTTGTCGAGCCACAAGGACGACGAAATATCGGTGACTGGTCTAGATTCAATACATTTCATTGATTGAATTGTGATGATTTTTATATGTAGGACTCCTCAACAGCGCCGCACGCCGCGTTGAGGAGCTACCACAACGCCCCATGGGGCCTCACTTTGTGCTAAATATTAAAGATTAATTATATACTGTATACATACGTGTATTTCAATAGTTTTGTACCAGTCGGTAAAGTTCTTTTTCGTATCTGCTAGGGTAATACTCCACTGCTACTCGCCTATATGAATGGACAAGCCGCCATGTGTAAGGTGCTCGTACGAGCTGGTGCGTGCCTAGCGCAAGAAAATAAAGATGGGATCTCCATATTTAATTATCAGGTAAATTTTCAACCTATTTAAAATATAATTTTGGTTCAAATTATATTTCTAAAATACCAAATACTTCATAATCATAATCATTACAGTCATAACAAGTACAGTGCTGAAAATAATCCTCCCCAAAAGAAATGCTACAGAACACTGTGCCTAGCCATCTGAATCCATCGATTCCCGCATGTTTCAGCAGGTGGTCACTCCATTTAGTGTGGTCGTCCTACGCTCCGCTCACTGGGTACGAGGCTGCCTCTAGAAAAACTTTCTTTCCCACTGGTTGTTGGTTCTTTGAGCTACATCACCGGACAATTGCACTGCAGCTTAGTGATCCGTTAAACTATATCGATTACTCTGGTTCTTCTGTGAATATCATCCTTACAAATTATATCACGCATAGAAACTTTGAGCATAACCAGAGGGCATAGCTCGCTGAGCGACTTAAGCAATTTCATAAGACCAGCAGTTAAAGACCACGTTTTAGATCTATATTATGTCATAAGTCGCAACACGCATTGTACGAACACTCTTATTTTAAAGTTTTGAAGAATTTGAATATTTAAATTAATATATAAAAAACATGGCCTGAATGGTTAATTATTACTTAAGGTTAATATCTTTTATTTCAAGAACTTCAGTCAGGTTGATATCTGTTGATCTCTAATCTCTAAGCCTTCATTCCGGTGATTAGAGATCAACAGATATCAGCCTTGGGTGGTCTTGGGTTAAATCAGTGTTGTGAAAAAAAGTTATTATAAAATACATATGTGTATATATATATGTATATATATATATATATATATATATATATATATATATATATATGTGTATATATATGTATGTATATATATATATACAGGGGCATTTGCCTTATTATATATTTATATATATAATAAGGCAAATGCCCCTGTACTTGAATTATTTATGGACTGATGAAAACGAGGTAGGTTTCAGCTAGTATGTAACATTAAATTTTACCTGCTCACAGGTGGCTACGAAGCAACTTCTGCATCGGCTATTAGACGCCCTGCCCTCAGAAGCACCTTGGGCCGAAAGCGACTTATGCCAAGAATGTGGCACCAAGTTTACTCTAACCATGAGGAAACATCATTGGTATGAAATTTACTCAATAGTCTATAATTCTACCCTAATTTTAATTATAAACAAATTGTAATTTTAATTACAAACAAATATCCTATTTATACAATTATTAAAGTAATTTTATTTTGTCATACTTCCAGCCGTCATTGCGGTCGCATGCTATGCCACAAATGCTCAAACCAAGATGTGCCCATACTAAAATTTGGCCTCAACAAACCACAACGAGTGTGCGAGATATGCTTCAACGTATTACAAGTTGGGGCCAGTTAGTGTAGTGTGAGCGTGGTTTCTTATACTGGCTACGATAGTGATACTTTGTACTTTGAAAGTTTTAGAGCGATACACACCTAGACTAGACTCTCAAATATTTAAGTTTAAAATAAAACTTAAGCAATGAAAAAGTTATGATGCATAACTAATTGCAAGATACAGATTTAAATTATAAATCCAGTACATAGATAATTATTATAACTTGATTAAATTTTTATATTGATTGGTAAAATAAATATCTAAATATAAAAATTATATTATAATGTAATGTAATGTTATGGTATATTATAATTTCCCCTGAATACCATTTCAACAAATGTATTAAATTCAAGACTGTGTAAGGTACTCAAAGATGAGTATAGGGCTAAGTTAATCGAAGCTTATAATGCTTTACTGGTTGGAAGGGTAGGTAATTCAAGCAAATTATTTTTTCATTCCATAAATTCAGAAATATTTGAATAAAAGTACTGTCTTGGTGTGTAATATTTTAGAGAATGCTTTTTTATTGTTTGATGTTATTTCATATAATATTTTTAAAAGTGTTGACTCTTCCCTTCAGTTTGTTCATGTGCCCATGACTACAAACAAATAATTTATAACTTATATTATTCTTCTATGTATAGGTTCTTCATAATTATTGGTTTAAGTTTTACGTCTTAGTCATCACAAAAAATATAAATGCTATATAAACTTAGGTTTCTCTGTAACCTAAAATATTTCCTAAGTTCTAAAAAAACCAAAGCAAACAAATATGCTTTAGTTATTTTTTACTTGTAGTTTTAATTGTTATATTGATAATGTTTATAATTTGTAAGTATTTACTAGCAATAATCAATGGAACAAAACATGTTAATTATAATGTATCTATTTTATCATGCTACTGATGTTTAAGTTGTGTATCAGTGAGTTTATGTCATTGTTTTGCCAGATCTTTCCCTGCTAATCTTAAAATAAGTTTATTATAAAATAATTTTTTTCAAAAATCTTCATTATGATTAGAGACGTAAATGTTAAATTTTGTTAGTCTCTGATGTAATATGTCCCATAATATTCCTTGAGGGATTAAAAACTTTCCATGTGTATATTTGTCATGAACTAATTTAGATTATTTTAAAATTTACTATTATAATGTTTAATTGTATTTTTAAATTGTGATTTTACATTCCGAAATAGGTATTTCATTGATTTCTTATATATTATGTTAATAAAAGAAATATATTTATTATTTAATCACTTAATTGCGATGTTAAATAATAATTATAAGATATAATTATACACCTATTCCCATGCTGTATTGAATATAAAATAAAAGTCATGTGTACTTGAAATTAAATATTTTATTTACAAAACATCTACAATTATTTGATTTTTAAATGTTATAAAAGAAACTATAGCCACTGCCCTTACCTACAAAGGCTTCTCACATTGAAAAAGAATAAAAATAATCTTTTTGCAATAATTGTGGGTAATGCAGTGATGTGCAACTTAAATTACTTTAACCTCTTAAAAAGGTCTTTGTTGACACATTTGTCTAGTACATGAATGTAATCAATCAACTCCTCCTCACATGTTTCAGTTGTTTTGGAACGGGAGGTTACACGGTTATTGCACTCTTGGTACTTTGACCAAAGATTCTGGGCATCAGGCTTCTGGGAGCAGACTTCCTGTAAGCAGAAACAAAATTTAAATAATTTTGTCATAAACAAAAATAACAATGATTTTTAAATGAAACTACATTTTACCAACATATCAATAGAAAAACAATGCAACTGAACTACAGAAAAAAAGAGAAAAAGAAACCTTATTAAATATTTCTTGTAAATTAAAAACTGTCTTGAAATCCTATAAGAAAACAAGAAATTAATTTACAAAATATAATGTGATAAACACTAAGTGCAATAATGTGCAAACTAATAACAATGTTTCATAATAAGTCAATTATTTGGGCTTAGGACGTGGAGTTATCATAAATTTCTTTTATCATTAATCTTTTAATAATGATTTACAAGGCATGGACGAATGATATGTATAAAATCACTGCCCTGGTAAAATAAAATTTTCAAAACATGGACTATTTAGACGAGTAATCTGCCAGTAATTATCAAAAAAGTAAAATATTTGTACAAAAAAAAAAACAAAAAAAAATTATCTGTACTAATTGGAGGATAAGAATAATTATTTTATTTATTTTGGAACATTTTTATTCTGTAGACTTGGACCTTGTCTTGTTTAAATTAAATTTACTAAATCTTCATTTGATTGAAAGTTAATAAGTGTTCCGACTATCTCATATATCCTCATCCATAGGATAAATATAATTGAGAGCCATGGAATTAAAAAGCCAAAGTATGTATATTAGTGTTATTAATATAGAATTCATCTCCAGATTTCTGACATGCCTGCAAACATTGGTAGTATTGGTATAATGTCTATATGCCTTCAATTTATAATTGTACATGGTAGAACATTGCTGTAACATATCATCACTGCAGCATAAATAGATCGCCTTAACCACGCCAGAATCGCGCTTTTTATTGCTTTGTATTGTACGGTGAATGACAAGAACCAGAGACCCTATACAATAGTAACAAGGCATTACCATCATAGTTCTTAAGGTGAAAACGCATCTGCAATATGATCCTTAATCTAGGACTCTTGTAGGTATTTTGGATGCATACTCTTACCTGCCATCAGGCGGATTGAGTGCCAGATTGTCACACTTAATCAATAAAAAAAAAATTGTTGTGCAGGTTAACATCTTTATGTTTGTTTAGTCCACATAATTTTTTATAAGTATATGATACAAATAGTTTTAAGTAATATACCCTGAGTTGCTGCTGCGGGTCCACTAATTCTTCCTCCTCAGCTTCTTCTTCATCAGCTCTTACTACAGGAACCAGTTTTTCAGCCATTTTTCCTGAAATTTTAATAACGGTTCGTTTTCAAAGGATACATTAAATACTTATTTAATGTATCTTAAAACTAATGTGTTTAATTCATAAATTCTTCACCTAAATCGATGATGCAACACCCGACCGCAATCGCCACAGACAACAAATAACCATAAATTTCTGCAAATAATCAAACCAAAAAGTATTATTACAATATATTCTGTGAGTATTGCCAAAGAGTATATAACCACTACGTTTAAGAGGCGGAAACACCATATATAGGGGATTGAAGGGACCACAGACCACAGACCACTAATACCCTTAGGAGGGAGACCCTTAGATTCTATTGAATGGCGGGATTTAGGCCCGCCATATACATACGGAATTCCGTTTCGAGATTCCGTTTCGGAATTCCGAACGGGTCGGCCACACACACGGAATCCCGTTTCGCCAGCGACTTGAGGACCTTCAAGAAAAGAGCCTACTTCTTTTTAAAAAGCAGTCAATGCACCTGCAATCCAACTGGTGTTGCATTTGTTCATGGGCGGCGGTAGTCACTTACCATCAGGTGAGCCGCATGTTCGTTTGCCCCCTCTCCTATAAAAAAAAACTAAAACGAACTGCTGGTCAGTAGCAAAATATAACAAACTGAAAGCTACCGTACGTGTGTGACGGGTCATATATTTTATATGGACTTGCCGCGTTCGGGATTCCGAATCGGAATATCGAAACGGGATTGTTTAATTTTTGACAAACAGCGCTGACAATATAGGTGAATTATTATAATATTGTTGTAATGACTATCTTCGGATAATTTTATCGATATAATGTTTATCGATATGTTGTTTATCGATATTTTTATATAATAAAAGTTAAATCTTTAAATTGAATGATTTATGAGAAATCAATAAAACTTCATATAAGTATTTACTTGGTGATTGAGAAAAAATGCCGATCAGGATAAGAAATCAATATTTTACACAGCAATTTGTAGCAAATATATGTAAAAAAAATTTTTTAACACTGATTGGATTAATATGCTTTTAAGTGTAATAGATACTATATATACATTGTTAGGCTTCTTCGCTTACTGCTCGTAGATAACGTTCAATAATAGTCATAACATAAAACATAAACACTCACGCCTGTCACACAGAGGGGTAGGCAGAGATTATGGACTTCCATTTGGCACGATCCTGACACAACTCTCTCGCTTCCTCCACATCCATATACCTACGCATACACGCTCGTCGGTTAAAGGTACTCTTGATTTGGCCCATTTTTAATATATCGCCAATTTGGTAGATAAACTTTCGCCTAGGGCGACCCTTCCCGACTATGCCGTTCACCTCTGCAACATAAATTTGCTTTGTCACTCTTTACTTAATAGTCCTTTTCAAAATTAATACACATTACAGCCAATGTAGATGAATCTATAAAAAACAGTAAACATTTAAAATTAAGTTTTTAAAAATAACTTCGACTTTAGTTATATGATCAAACTCTTATCAAAATATGATTTTAGAGGGATATTATATTTTGCTACTGACCAGCAGTTCGTTTTAGTTTTTTTTTATAGGAGAGGGGGCAAACGAACATGCGACTCACCTGATGGTAAGTGACTACCGCCGCCCATGAACAACTGCAACACCAGTTGGATTGCAGGTGCATTGACTGCTTTTTAAAAAGAAGTAGGCTCTTTTCTTGAAGGTCCTCAAGTCGTATCGTTCCGGAAAAATCGTTGGTGGTAATCGATTCCACAAGGAAGTTGAAGCGAGGTAGAAAACTTCTTCTAAATCGAACAGTAGTGGACTGCCAATCATCCAGATGGTATGGATGGTATCGTGAGTTTTGTCGCGATATGTTATGGTAAAATTGAGCGGCTGGAATAAGTCCGAACAATTCCTCAGAGCACTCCCCGTGATAGATGCGATAAAATACGTAAAGAGATGCAGCATCTCTACGCAGTGCCAGTGAGTCAAGCCGAACTCAGTTGTTGACGTTTCGAACCACTCTGCGCTGGATGCGGTCAAGTGGAAGGAGATGGCACTGGGGAGCCCCTGCCCAGAGATGGGAACAGTATTCCATGTTATACTGAACTTGCGCCTCGTAAAGTCGCAAGGGGTGTGCCTGCATGAAATACTGTCCCACTCTGCTGAGCACGCCAAGTATTTTAGAGGCCAATTTGGCCTTCTCTTCTAAGTGACCACGAAACTGCACGTCACTCGATATGTCGACATCGAGGATTACGATACTGGCTGAGGCAACAAGAGGAGTGCCTTGAAACTGAGGAGATACGACAAAGGGGTTCCTTTTAGTGGTAAACGCGCAAACTTGTGTCTTCTGGGGATTGAACTGGACTAGATTTAGTCGCCCCCAGTCTGAAACTTTGTTCAACAACGTCTCGACTTCAGGCACAAGTTTGTTTCGGTACTTGGCGACGTTTTTCCAAGAAATATTGGCACGGCCGGTGTATAAAGCATCACCAGTCCGCATAGCAATGAATGTTACTCGTTTGCAACATATCATTGATATGCAGAAGAAACAGCGTTGGTGATAGCACGCAGCCTTGTGGAACACCAGCGTTAATGGGCTTGTAATCGGAGCATGCACCGTCTACTACGACCTTGATGCTCCGATCTGCAAGAAAACTGGTAATACAATTGCACAATTTTTCGAAAAGCCCATAGGAAGGCTGCTTCGAAAGAGGCGCTTTGTGTCAAACCCGATCGAAAGCCTTCGCTATGTCGAAACTAACGGCCAACGCCTCCCCCTTGGACTCCACTGCCTCTGCCCATCTATGAATTAGGTAACCTAGAAGATCACCAGCTGAGCGACCTCGACGGAAAACGAAATGGCGGTCACTAATCAGCTGGTGATCCTCAAGGTACTGTATGAGCTGGCAGTTAATAATGGTTTCCAATCCTTTGGAGAACAAAGAGGCGATAAGACAGCGATAGGTCTGTAGTTGGACGGACCTGAGCGGTCGCCTTTATTAGGGATCGGGTGCACTAAAGCTGTCTTCCATGAGTTTGGGACTACGCCTAGGGAGTAGGAGTACCGAAAAAGACGCGTTAAAATGGGTGCCAACTCCGGAGCACACGTCTTCAGCACAATAGGTGGGACTCCATCAGGCCCACTCGACTTGTTGACGTCCAGGGAGAGGAGTGCTTTACGCATCGAGCGCTGTGTTAACAGCACTTCCTGCATGGAGCACTCACACAGAGGGATGTTCGGCGGTGTGTGCCTAGGAGATCGGCTTTCTCCTTTGCGTCAAGGCCAGTGAGTTGTCTACCCTGTGCAGAGAGGGCAGAGATAACTGACAGAAGTTTCTTTGGACAGCCTTGGCGAGAGATCAGAATGCACGTCTTCCCAAAGGGATGTGAACTAGTTTCTCGCTAATTCTGCCGATGTGCTTTTTGTGACTTTGCCTTGGCAATGACATTTATGAAGAACCTGGAAGTGGAATTATACTTCCTTTTAAGAGCGCTGCTGCTTACATCCCGGGACGTTGATGCGTCGGCCCAGGCTCGGTAGCACTCCTGCTTATAACGTGATGCAATTTTACAGGAGTGACCAAACCATTGCCGATTGCTGCCTCCGATAGGCACCAAAGATGATGGAATAAATAATTCCATTCCCTGAAGTACCACATCAGCGACAGAATCAGCAACAACGTTGGGATCATCCAGCGAGAAGAAAGCCCGCCCCCACGGGTAGGATGCAAAAAAAACCGCATCCCGTCCCAATCGACCAAGCTATAGTGCCAAACACGGCGGCAAGCTGCAGATCGCATCTGCGATGGGAGCGTGAGTGGCACCGTACTCCGGATCAGACAATGGTCCGAAGTGCCCAGAGGGGACCGACGGAGACCTGATATCCGTCCGGATGAGTAGTCAGCAGAAGGTCTAACAGGGAAGGTACATGATCCTCCACATCTAGGATCCGCGTAGGCGAAGTAAGCAGTTGTGTTACACCATATGCCAAGGCAAAGTCATAGACAGATCTACCCGTGTGATCGGTTTAACGGGAACTAAGCTATTCAGCGTGGTGGGCGTTAAAATCACTGAGTATCACGATCTCTGCGAATGGGACCTGTTGTAGTACTGTTTCTGCAGCCATTTGAACGTGGTCGACGTTGGAGCTTGGGCGTGGATGTCCAGTGAGGGATTCTCCATGGAAGCTGGTACACTCCTGGGGTAGTGTTCCTTTTAATTCCGCTATTATGTCGATGGGGGAGGAGGGCATTGGGTCTCCGGCCACCTGCACTCACCAGGCGAAATGCAGAAGTAAGCTTCTACTTCACGCTGGTATTCGGTGAGGTTGTGGTACCACCCCAGTTTGAGCCGTCCCATCCGTGCGACAGCGAAAGCTGCCGCGTGGCTCTACATCTGTCCCGTATTGAAAATATAGCTTTTAAGTATATTCACCTACTACCACAAATAACTATTAACTATTTCGTTGATCCACCATTAGTCGTAGGCACGACCGCTGATCATATGATCACGTGTTCAAATACCAGGGCGGGCCCAAATAAAGTTTTAGATATAGCATCCTGGAGTCAGGAAGTTGGCGATGTTACACCCACGTGCCATGATCTTTTAACATTTGTTCTATTTCATAATGTGGGTCCTCTTTGTGTCTTTTGATTAATTCGTGCAATTGCGCTTTTGTCCAAAAATTGTCAAATTCAATACTATTGTTCGTAAGCTACTCTTGAATTTCTGCTTTTGTATTGCCAATTGTAGGCACCTTGTTTATTTGTGTGCAGTGGTATGACGCATTATCCATCATTACAATGCAAAGTCTGTCGTCGTCGCGCCACAATCGAAACACGTCGTAGCCTAAATCACGCTATCAAAGTTCCTAAGTAAAAGCAGTATATTATATAACATAGCTCCAAACTATCACTCGGAGCGTTGGCCACTCCCCGGGCAGAATACCTTGCCCAGCGGGAGAACTCCCCTTTTCCTTCCACCGGCCACATGGTTGTGCCATCTTCGCCGCACAAGATTTATAGG